TAAGTACAAATTTGAGGTACTTGTACTTAACTTGAGTATTTCCATTGTATGCTACTGTGTACTTCTACTCCACTTCAGATCAGAGGTAAATTATGTACTTTTACTCCACTACATTTATTTGAATACCTTTAGTTACTTTACAGATGTGGATGAATGATGTGGAATATACTGTAAGTAACACTAGAATAAGACTTGAGTTACATCTGGAGTAAATTTACATTTAACATTTCTGATTTAAGGAAAAAATAAGTTTATTATACTATTTTTGCGTACATTTTTTTGATTATATTTCTTGTTTTTTACTTGTGACGGTCTGAATAGAAGCTAAATGAGTTTCTAGTAGAAGGCTTTGATGAAAACAGAAATGGATCCAGTTCATTGTTGACAAATGCACCAACAATAATAAAACATATTAACCTGTTAAGCCCTGAGCCTGTTTTTCAGGTCTCAGGCTCGAAAATGACATTCCCAGAACAAATGACCATATCTTCCCTTCTAAAAGGGGAAAATTAATAATCTTATTTCTCAAAGTAATGATAAACCTATGAGTTGGATGTAGAAAAGTCAGAATCAATATAGATGTTTTTTATTTTAAAGAAAATTCAGATTGAACATGGTAAAAAACTGTAAATTATAGTGTCCGTCCAAAAAATATTTTGTACTTATAGTGAAAACTAACCTTGGATGATGGGTTAGTTGACTAAAAGCTTTAGGAATCCAAAGTACAACATATAATAAGTACCCTGTATCAAGATTGATGCAAAACAAGTGATATTTGACCTTTTTAGACAGATTTAGCACAAAAAAACTCTTCTGGGGCCATTTGGGTGGATTTTCCATATCTCTGGCCCCCCTTGCTGGATTTTGACATGTGAGGGTCAATAGAATCGAAGGGGAATCTCCCCGCACACACTCATGTTAAAAATAAAAGATGGCGTCTTCGCGCAAGCAGTTTTGCTCCAGAGCGAAGCTGTCTCTATGGTCTGACTTCTCAAAACCGAAAAGCAGATTTATTGCTCATGGATTATCAGAAATCATTCAAAGGGACACAGACACATTGGATTAACCTATGGATTAACTTCAGCATAGTTTTTATCGTTTTAATGCCATTGAAGACCACTTTTGACCAGACTACCACACAGGTGAGCCATTTTGCCGTCTTTGGCTAACTAGCTCCATATGTTTTGATGTGTGTTCTTGTTATTATCTCCGCGAGTTCGTATGATTGATAATGAGGATAACCATCGATTCTGTGTCCCCTCACGATGTGAAACGATGGGTTAGATGTGCAGCAAAGATAAATAAAAAAAATGTTGTGAGTGAATTTCGGTGCAGTCATCTGTTAGCATTTTTCGCTCGTTGCTAATTCAGAGGCTCAGCGTTAGCATTGTGGGTTTTTTTTTGAAAAATAAATTAAAATGATCTGTTAGATGAGTTTCTTTCCGTTACATGGATATAAAACATTCATAGTCTATTAAATAAACATGCCCTCAGACACTGTTTTCTGCAAGATATTGCAGGAGGCCCCCGGAACCGGGGTCTCTCGGCTTAACAGGTTTCACTGTGTTATGATAAAACACTTTTATATATCTGAATATCTTTGTTTCAGAGACCGGAGGAGCGTCCATCTTTCGCTCAGCTCTGCCTGATGATCTCCGACGCTCTGGAGGCTGACGCCCCGCCCCTAAACTGATCAACCGACCAATCAGCTGCTCCCACCATCCCTGAGGGCCATGTTGCCCCCAAACTCCCACCATTCACCTCACTGTTATTGTTTAATTTACTGACAATAACACAGCGAAGATGTTATAATAGAGTTGTGCAGGAATGAGTCCTAAAACCCTGTTTCCTGTTTCCTTGTCAATGGTTTCCTGAACATGTTTTTGTTTTTTAATCCTGAAATAAGGTCTGTGGTTAACACAAGGTGAAGGGATTTTTATTCTACGACATACATTACGTCAGTAAATACCCCACTGGTGAATTTAACAACAGCGGTTGCTAACAAGTGTCCAAATGAGACGACTAAACGTCATCACGTCCTACATTAGCCACCTTTAGCTTAGCGGTGGTGACGTGAAGTCATGTGACCGTGCTGTAGTTCCTTTATAACGTTAGATTTTTACTTCAGAAATCATAAAGTGGTGTTAATATGTGGAGATGATCCTGCTGAACTAAACTTATTAGTATCATAAAAGTTTGTTTGACACTGAGATTATTTTCTACCATAATTCAAAATTCCCATTAAACCAGGGAGATGCTGCCTTCAGGGTCGGACTACAGAAAACGACATCCCTGCACCACTCTACGGTGCTTACATTGTCTAGAACTGACAAATCAGATGAAGCGGATGGACCACTCACTCATAATCATCCACCAATCATGTTTGTTTGTCCATTATAATAAACACACATCAATATATATCAGTGACGTGCAGTCAGGAGAGGCAGGGGAGGCAGAGCCTCACCTGCCATACTCCAATGTAACGGAAAAACAACTAAAGAAAAACTAAATAGTAATAATAATAAAATGTCTCCACTAATCTGTGTTGTAAGTGTGATTTCTGTTTGATTCCAATCAGCAAATTGTCCGAGCTCCGCTACAACTACGGGTAGCGATGAGAGGTGAGGCAGGGACGAGCTCTGCCTCTCGTAAGCCCACAGTAACTGGCTGGAGCGCGGGCACTAATTTAGCACGGACGCTTATTTTGTGAGCGCGCTCAAGCCAGTTACTGTGGGGTGAGGTGAGGCACAGATGAGCTCTGCCTCACCTCAGAATGCGTCACCCCACAGAAACTGGCTGGAAAGCGGGCCCTAAGCGCATGCCTGCACCATCTCACTGTATGTCACCAATGTAATGTTTGTAGATCCCTTTATTACATTTATCCTCGCCATCCATAGTCTCTCAATAACTTATTTCACGTATATATGATATTTAGGCTCGCTGGTCTCATCATACAACGCCAATGAACAAAGCACCAGGGGAGGCAGCCATAACCTCTGCCGCACTGAAGGGGGCGCAAGTGAGCCCACAGGTCCTTGTTGCTACTGTTATTCTACGCAGAGACGGTAGATGCAAACAACAAGCTAGACTTTTGAAACTAGAGGAAGATAAGGAGGACTTTTAGAAAAAAGTAATAGAGATTGTTGTCCAGAAGGAGAGCATGGACTTCATCTTCAAGTCAAGGTAAGACCACCATCCATCCATCCATCCATCTTCTTCCGCTTATCCGTGGTCGGGTCGCGGGGGTAGCAGTTCCAGCAGAGAGCCCCAAACTTTCTTTTCCCTGGCGACATCAACCAGCTCTGACTGGGGGATCCCAAGGCGCTCCCAGGCCAGCGAAGAGATATAATCCCTCCACCTGGTCCTAGGTCTACCCCTTGGTCTCTTCCCAGCTGGACGTGCCTGGAACACCTCCCTAGGGAGGGGCCAGGTGGCATCCTAACTAGGTGCCCGAACCACCTCAACTGGCTCCTTTCGACGCGAAGGAGGAGCGGCTCAACTCCGAGTCCCTCCCTGATGACCGAACTTCTCACCTTATCCCTAAGGGAGACACCAGCCACCCTGCGGAGAAAACCCATCTCGGCCGCTTGTATCCGCGATCTCGTTCTTTCGGTCATGACACATCCTTCATGACCATAGGTGAGGGTAGGAACGAAAATGGCCTGGTAGACAGAGAGCTTTGCCTTCTGGCTCAGCTCCCTTTTCGTCACAACGGTGCGGTAAAGCGACTGCAGTACCGCTCCCGCTGCTCCGATTCTCCGGCCCATCTCACGCTCCATTGTTCCCTCACTCGAGAACAAGACCCAGAGATACTTGAACTCCTTCACTTGGGGTAAGGACTCATTCCCTACTTGGAGTGGACAGTCCATCGGTTTCCTGCTGAGAACCATGGCCTCAGATTTGGAGGTGCTGATCCTCATCCCAGCCGCTTCACACTCGGTTGCGAACCGATCCAGTGAGTGCTGAAGGTCGCAGACCGATGAAGCCATTAGAACCACATCATCTGCAAAAAGCAGTGGTGCAATCCTTAGTCCACCGAACTGCAGACCCCCTCCCCCATGACTACGCCTCGAAATCCGATCCATGTAAGACCACCATTGTAATGTAAATGGGTTCTTACTAAGAAAGAACAATCCAATATTTAGATTTTGGGTATCCTTTTGTTGAACGGTCTGTTTAAAATGAATCGAAGCATCAGACTTTTGAAAAATAATAGCTTTTGAAATAGCTTTTGAAAATAACCCAATATTTCGATTAAGGTCAAAATATAATATTTGTAAATCTGACTCAGTGCCTCACCAGCCATGAACCTCACCGCACGTCACTGATATATATTCTTTTTTAATTTGCTTCGCTGCCGGCACGAATAGATTTGATGCAAAATATTTGCAGGCGAGTATTTTGCATTATTGCGTCATCCTGTCTATAAAGGTCTTTAAACTGAAGTTGTGTCCATCAAATAAAACACTGCTCATGTTGATTTGTAGTCTCTTTTTCTGGCAATGTACAAATATTCTGTAAAGGAAGTAAAGGACCGTTCAACGCACCGTCCTGTATAAATATCAAAGTCAACTTTAATGTACATTTTTCTGTGTGTTTGTACAGACAGAGAAATCGAAATAACGTTTCCAATAATCCCGAATACAAAATACAATAATATAAATATGTATACAAATATATATAAAATATGTATATCCTATATATATATATACATACAACCAACAGACACATTTGCACATATGCACACTTTAAGACAAAACACAACAATCAATATATACAAAATAACAGTCACTTCAATATAGTGCAAGATTGTCCATAGCAGTGTCAAAAAGTGTATGGTGCTGGAATTGAGTGTCTGAGTGTGTGGGGGGTTACAGTCCAGTGGGGGCAGGGGGAGAGGGGAGAGAGTTCAGCCTCCTGACAGCCTGGTGTAAAAAACTACCACTATGACAGGGGACATATCACTTACATGTCCCCTGTCCTCTTACCGCACATGTTTTATCAAAACAGTGAGGTGATAAGAGTGTCCCATGTTGGGGAGGGGGGAAGCCTTGTATGCTCCCTTGATGGTGGTATAAACAAGATCCAGAGTCTTGTTTTCTCTTGTTGGGAAGTCAACATGTTGATACATGTTTGGCATGAATGTGGAGTCATATTGAACAAAAACGCTTCCATGGAAAACCCCAGATGATACAGATATTTCTGTAGCCACACCTCCAGGGACATGTACCTTCCTTCAGACTCTCTGAGTTATTTCAGTTTCAGCAGATTTCATGAAGCTCTAATCCAAGATGGTAAGTGTTTCTTTTTAAAGCTTTATAAGGATTATTTCTGAATTTGTTCATCTCTGGATTATTTTCTCATTTAATGGATTACTTTTAAAATGTAGAAAATTGCAGATGAGAAATGTGAATCACAGTTTACCCAAAGTCTGAAATGATTTTCAGTTTGTACTCATAACACATTTCCTCTGAACTAAAGATAAATAAATATAATTTAAAATATGAAATTCTTAATCCTTAATTCAGGTTGAAATATGTTTTCTAATAAAATATTCAAAAATAATATTTGTTATAGTTCAGCTAAATCTAAATACTGTTATTGTAAGTAAAATAAAGTGAAAGTTAAATGAATTGTATTAAATGTCTATTTATGAAAATAATCGTAATATCTCAAATAAGTACAATTGTCAAAGAAAAACTAAAATCCAGAAAATGTTTTCCGTGATTTATGCGATTTTACAAAAGTAAAAATAACTAAATTAAATGATTATAGTTCTGCAAAATATAAACGCTGTAATTTTATCTCGAATACAAATTATATGAAAGTTACGGCAAGTTTAAGTGAATTTTGTTACATTTCTTGTCAATCTGAATACACGAAATAACTTGAATTATCAAGACGATGCTGCTCCCATGTTGATGCGAAATGGCTGATTCTGCAAACTTTTACTGAAAATACTTTAAGTGACTTTTGCTGACAATGCTTCTGTACTTCTTCTCAAGTAAAGTTCCTAAAACGGGACTTTTAGGGAGTATTTTATTTTATTACTGCTTCATGACGAATCTACAAGCAGTTTTTCTAACGGAAATCTATCCCAGATTCTTTGCTGGTATTCGTCCAGGAAATAAAGCCTGTTTATCTTTGGGTGTACAATAAAAGTGTAACTTGAATCATTCACCAGTGTGTAAAGCAGGGGGGTCAAACTCAATTTCATCGCGGGCCCCATCAGCATTATGGCTGCACTCAAAGGGCCGGTTGTAACTTTAGGAATATATAAAAATACATATATAAATATTTAACATATATAAAATAATGTATTATATTACATAATTGCCTCTGCATTGGATTATTATCAGATAGGGTGATAACTTCATAATAAACTACGTCTGAAAGCAGAAGTCTAGGGCAAATAATTGCAAGTCTCTTCAGTGAAAATGTCACTAAATGATTTAAAAAGAAAAACCAAACTCAAACAAACAAAAAAAAAAAGAAAAGAAGTGACATTTTGAAAAAAAGAAGTAAAAAAGAAAAGAAAAGTAACATTTAAAAATAAAAAGTCAAATTCTAAGAAAAGGCATATTTTGAAGAAAGAAAGTCTTATTTGAGATGCATTGTGGGACATGTAGTTTATGGGCAACGTTCTTCTGTAAATTATCATGTAACCGTATAATACACATATAATATTCTTTGCAAGCTCTTGTGGGGCCACAAAAAATGAACTCACGGGCCGGATTTGGCCCCCGGGCCTTGAGTTTGACACCCCTGGTGTAAAGGAATGAGTTGTAACCCAGCTCATGACTCCTAAAATAAGCTCAAAAGGTTGTTATCAGTCAAATCAGTAAATACCCCACTGGTGAATACGTCATCACTTCACCACTGTATAAGATAACATTATGATTCCTCTCCGAAAAGGTCTGGTTTGAACTGGTATCTCAAACTCTAATGTTTGATAATGCATTGTTCTTTCCCCTCCCACAAAATACACAGTATGTGACCCTCAAAAGATGGAGTCTGCTGCCCTTTGCCACCATCCTCCTGTCCATCCATCCCACACTAACTGAAGTGGTGACTTCAATGGCTGACTGTCGTGGGTTTCTTCTTCAGGAAAAAACACCAAATGTCCCCGACGTCTTGGAGAACGGGAGGATCATGGACCAGAACCGATATAAAGTCATTTGCCAGACCTTCGAGAACGAGCGTCGTTTCGTGACGCTCTACGACACCCGCAACAAGATACCAGTGTTTTCTGCTTTCAAGTACAGAGGGAAAGAGGAGAGGGAAGGAAAAGAGACAAGACCACCTTGGATGATCGAGCCAGAGGTTTGTTTTTCTTTCTCTGACTCAAACATTATTCAACTTTCGACTATTCAATGGCGTTTAACTCCATCCACCAGTTTTTACACTTCAAGAGAGAGACAGCGACCTCATCAGCAACTGACAGGTTGATTAAGAAAAGTGTTTATAGCGTGAGAGCAATAGATAATGGGAATATGACGTCATCAACAGCAAGTCAGCCATCTTTGGGGGATACCGTAACCCATTGACTCTCTCTCCATTATGGCGATGTCACTTTTTTAATGTAACTTCTTGAATGTGGGCACTGTTTGTGTCCTTGGCTGTAACTGCCACTCCTATGACCGATGAAAAAACAAAACAAAGAACCTTGGGTTTACATTTGATAGTTTTATAGCAAAATGGAAAACGATGGAGAGGTAGCACACATCAGCAGAGATGCCGTATGAGTGGGACCAATGTTATTTATTCACTTTAATTCAGTACAACAATGCTCCTCTGATTCTGAGGAGAGCTTCTGTCGGTAAGGGCAATTATATTTTGCCATTGCTTTATTCATATTAGGTGAACAACATCAAAAAGATGACCAGTGAAAGCTCATAGATATTAAGGGCTTCTGTCGTTGTTGGATGCTATCCTCCAAAGATGGCTGTGACGCCCCAGAATGCACGGCGGCTACCATTCCCTATGACTGGAATTCACATGATAAAATGTCTGATGTAATCGCTTCAGTTTGAGTTATCAAATAACTTTCTAGAAGTTTATTTTAACAGCAATATAAATACCACTGACTGAGCCTTCTGACTTTTGCAGCTCGAGCCGACCATCAACATGAGGATTGATAAAAACCAAAACCAAAACCAAAACCAGGCCAGTAACTCTGATTATTTCTCCATGGAAAAAATATATAATAGGGGCCATTTATTTCCAATGAGTTATGGATTTGATGCAAATGACAGAGACTCCACATTCACTTTGACAAACATTGTTCCACAAGTGAAGACTTTCAATGGTGGCAGCTGGGCAAAAATGGAAGACTGTGTCAAATGCTTCCTGAAAGAACAGTGCATCAACAGTAATAATGTCCTCGAAGGCTTTGTAGTGACCGGGGCAATGCCCGGCAACACCCAACTAAACAACAGGGTGAATATACCATCCCTTCTCTGGTCAGCATTCTGCTGTTACAATCACACAAAGAAGAAGTGGCTGGCGGCTGCACACTGGGGCAACAATGATCCAGGAGAACTTCATTCCAAAACCCTTGAGGCAAAGACTTTGGCCCAACTTCGTCTACAAGTCGGATTTGAGGTGTTTCCTAGAACAAAGTGTCCTCTTCATGAAAATGCTCTAAAAGAGGAAAAAGGTAGAAGAAGTAGAAGAAGTATTTCTGCTTTTTCTGCTTCTTCTTTTTGCCAATGTCCTCCCCAAACTTCAACCACATCTGCCCCTCCCACAACCACAACTAGCTTCCCCTCTTCCACCGTCTCTACATCCTTGAGTACCACTTTATCTACAACTACAGACAAAACAACAACAGTCCCTACAACCACAACAACCACAACCACCACAACAACAACAACAACTACAACTGCAAAGAAAAATAAAGATCATCCTGACGATAACAAGGGTGGTGAAGGAGGAGGTGGTGGAGGAGGAGGTGGTGGAGGAGGAGGTGCTATAGGTGCTTTAGGAGGTGCTATAGGTGCTTTAGGAGGTGCTTTAGGTGCTTTAGGAGGAAGTGGTTTAGGAAGAGGTGGAGGAGGTGGTGGAGGAAGAGGTGATCTGTATCCAACAGTTCCTGCTACGTCTCAAACTGCCACTACATCTGGCCATGTAGCTACCACAACAAGAACTCCTTTAACTGCTGCTTTCCCCAGTTTTGCCAATAAACCTACAACTACAGAAACACCAATTACCATCAAAACTTCCCAAACCAGAACTAACTCCACCAATCCAAAATCTACCCCAACTATTCCTGCAAGTTCCGAACGCAAAACTAACTTCACCACTACAACATCAACCCCAACTATTCCTGCAACTTCCAAACTCCAAACCAACACAACCAACCCAATGCCAACTATTCCTGCTAGTTCTGAACCCAAAACTAACTCCACCAACCAGACCTCAACGTCCTTCATTCCTGCAACCACTGAACCCCAAATAAATACAACCAACCAAACGCCAACTTTTACTGCTACTTCTGAACCCAAAACTAACTCCACCAATCCGACATCAACCCCAACTATTCCTGCAACTTCCGAACCCCAAAATAACTGGAGGAGGTGGTGGAATCCGAAATCAACCCCATACCCTCCTCCAACTTCCGAACCCCAAAATAACTGGAGGAGGTGGTGGAATCCGAAATCAACCCCATACCCTCCTCCAACTTCCGAACCCCAAAATAACTGGAGGAGGTGGTGGAATCCGAAATCAACCCCATACCCTCCTCCAACTTCCGAACCCCAAAATAACTGGAGGAGGTGGTGGAATCCGAAATCAACGCCATACCCTCCTCCAACTTCCGACCCCCAAAATAACTGGAGGAGGTGGTGGAATCCGAAATCAACGCCATACCCTCCTCCAACTTCCGAACCCAAAACTAACTCCACCAACCAGACCTCAACGGCCTTCATTCCTGCAACCATTGAACCCCAAATCAATACAACCAACCCAACACCAACTTTTCCTGCTACTTCTGAACCCAAAACTAACTCCACCAAACCAAAATCAACACCATAAACTCCTGCAACTTCCAAACCCCAGACTAACTCCACCACCACAACATCAACCCCAACTATTCCTGAAACTACTGAACCCCAAACCAAACCAACCCAACCCCAACTATTCCTGCAACTTCCAAACCCCAAAATAACTCAACCAACCGGATACCAACACCCTTTATTCCTGAAAATACTGAACCACAAATGAATACAACCAACCCAACGCCAACTTTTCCTGCTACTTCTGAACCCAAAACTAACTCCACAAATCTGACATCAATCCCAACTATTCCTGCCACTTCCAAACCCCAAACCAACACACCCATCCGGACACCAAGGTTCAAGGTTCTTTATTGTCAAACTAACATAGCTACAGAGTAATTATGTCATTGAAAATCTTAGGTCACAGGCTTCTCCAACAATGCAACACAATAATACAGATAAGCAGACCATATTAAAACAATATTAAAGTATATTATATTAAAAGTAATACAAAAAAGAAAAATAATTTTTTTTTAAAAGAAGTGGAATAGTGCAATACGAGTCTATATACAAGTTATTGGAATGATATATTAGATAATAGATAAATAATTACTAAGTAGCAGATGAATGTTATGAAACGGCCTTCATTCCTGAAACTTCCGAATCTGAAAATAACTCCACCAATCCAACATCAACACCATTCACTCCTCCAACTTAACAGTCATTGGAGCTGCTGTGATGCAAGTCAAATGTCGGACTTGATCTGACCATTAAAGTATTATCGTATCGTATCGTAATGAAATTGTAGGTATCTAGGTAGTTTGGGTTGCCTTAACCCGACGATTGTTTATTTAAATAGATGCCACATGTTGAAATCACATTAAATATGTATTTGAAAATCTAACCATCTGATATATTGTCATTAGATGTGTGGAGTCTATTTTTATATAACATTACAAGAGTGATTCATATTATTACATTATATGCTTATTGTGCTCATGCGATGTTGCTATGACTTTGGAATACATAGACTCAATCACCAGTCCCAGGTTCTGATGGGTTGGATACGAAACGAAGGGAATAGTCATAGAAGAAAGTTTTAGCTTGCATAGAAATGCAGCAAAAGCCAGGTGCAGACCCTGTAGAGACAAAGAGTTATTGAAAACAGGAGATCGCCCTGGCCTTGAACAGTGTGTGAGCTCCTCGCCTACGCATAACTGGGAATCAGTATAATGGAGGATTCCACTATCTATTGTAAAAGCTTCAGCAAAACAAATTACGTAGGATAGCACTAGAGTAGGGAGGGACCATCACAGGCTGGCCGAATGCTGATTGGAGGTCGTGTTGCCAAGAGACTTTGTCTAAGTCTGTGCACCAACCAGGGAGGCCAAAGTCTAAACCACGGTCCTCCCCATCTAGTCTCAACCAATCATAAATGTACGGGCTGAGCCCTGAATAATAAAATGTAATGCACCCACGAGGTTCGAGGCTTTTTTCTGGAAATAGAGTTACAGATTACAGCTCTGTGATTTCTATGACCCGACGGAGTCCTTGGCCAAGTGAATATATCTTTTAATCTCTTTTAATAAAGAGTTGAACTTAGAAGTTATTTGTCTTTCCTGGAATAAAAGAACACAACAGATGTAATGTTTGAAATAATTGTAACCTGACAATAATCAATTGACAAATAAATACATCATGTACAAATCAGCTTGTTTTTCCAGATGCGTCTCAGAGGGATTTAAAATCTCCACTTCAGACATCTAGTGGAAAAATAAAAGTGTTTTTGATTTATTTGGACTATTTAATTTCGCTAATCATAGCTTTAAAGAAAAGGTGTGCTTTGCATATATCAAGAGGGAGATTGAGAATGTCTAATTATTTTTACAAAAAATACAGGCCCTTGTGAAAAGCGGAAATAAACAGTTGAAGGAAACTGCTTAAAAATATGAAGTAATGGGTGTTTTGAAAATGTTTTCAAATTTGTGTTAATGCTCATTACATTACATGTTACTTGTTAGACGCTTTCATCGAAAGCGACTTACATACTCAATACTGGGGGCAATCCCCACAGGAGCAATTTGGGGTGAAGTGTCTCAGGGACACAACGACATGCTGACTGCAGTGGGGTTTGAACCAACACTCTATCCACTGCGCCTCCTCATTGGGTGTTATAAATTATTTTCCTGATTCTAATCATTTGATGTATGATTATTTATTTACAGACAATACATTCTATACATTCTGGTACCTTTCTGGTAAGGTAGGTGCTCTGATCTGAAATGATAGATGTTCATTGAGCTACTGCAATTGGGTGAGAGTGTTTTAGCATCATATATGACCAGCTTAACCATCAAGTAATCCCAGCTAAAGTTCTACTCAAGATCATACCAGTCTGACCAGCTAATGGTGACCAGCTAGCTAGAACACTGTGACCACCAGCTAAACCAGCCATCCCGACCAGCTAATGGTAACCAGCTCGACCACTGTGACCAAACCAGCTATCCGGACCAGCTAAAGTGTCCAAAGCCCCTCTAAACCAGCAAACTAATCCAGCCTAATATTGACTGGCTGGCCAGCCTGACCAGCCTTGTTGGTCTAAGCTGTTTTTTTCAGCAGGGATATGACAATAAAACCTTGAACCTTGAACTTAAAGCAACCAGCTTTCATTTCCTTGTAGGCCTATGTGCTCAAAGCTCATGAATTTCATCATATCACTTACATATTAATTACATTATGCAATATAACAATCAATATAATGCATTATATATTATTATATGATATTACAATTCATACAAACTTGGAATTATAATACACTATGATCTTTGCAATACATACTCACTTAGAGACCTGCCTCAAACATTGACATTTATCTTGAAAAGCTACATTTAGGGCCAAAACAATGCCAAAAATATTCCGTTAAGGAAGTAAAGGACCATTCATAGCACCGTTCTGAATAAATATGGCGTCATACTGAACAAAAACACATCCAGGGAAAGTCCCCGATGATGGAGATTAGTATAATATTTCTGTAGCCACACCTCCAGGGACATGTACCTTCCTTCAGACTATTTGAGTTATTTCAGTTCCGGCAGATTTCATGAAGCTCTGATCCAAGATGGTAAGTTTTTCTTGGAAAACTTTTTAAGGATTATTTCAGAATTTTGCTAATCTTTGGATCATTTTCTCATTTAATAGATTACTTTAGTCAGAAATGGGCATCACACTTGACCCAAAGTCCAATATGACGTTTAAAATGTATTTTTTAATATAATGTTATGTTTATACTAACATAACACATTTCCTCTGAACTAAAATTAAATCAATAAAATGTAAAAAATTAAAATGGTTTAGGTTAAAAAATATGTTTTGTAATAAAATATTTATCAGCATAAACCAAACACTGTATTTGTATGTAAAATAAAGTGAAAGTTAAATGAATTGTATTAAATGTTTTATTTAAAAGGTTTTATTTAAATAATCTGAATATCTAAAATAAATTGAATTATCAAAAAAAAAAATCCAGAAAAAAACCAATGTTTTTCAAGATTTATGCGATTTTACAAAAGTAAAAATAAATGAATAAAACGATTATAGTTCAGCAAAAATAGAAATGCTGTAATTTTAACTCAAAATAGTTTTTTGTAAATCTGAATACGCAAAATAACTGGAACGATGCTGCTCCCATGTTAATTCATAAATACTACAAAAGTATAACAGATATCATATCAGTAGGCTATCTGATATGGGTAATTCTGCATACTTTTGTAAACTTTCCTTAAGTAAAGTTCCTAAAATAGGACATTTAGGGAGTATTTTATTTTATTATACCTTAAAATTACTGCTTTATGATGATGTGAAATGTGAAAAAATAACACTTAAAATATATTTGTTTAATTAACCAGCAAATCTACAAGCATCTTTTCAAAGGAAGCTTTTCGAGAATTAATCCTGGTGTTCCTCCAGGAAATAAAGCCTGATTTTCTTCATGTGTATGCAAGTGTAACGTGGGAAAGCACCACATCACTGGCAATCATTAATCAGACAAGTGTAAAGGAATGACTTTTGAATGTGTTTTTGGTTGTTTGCCTGAAATAAGGTCTGTGGTTAACACAAGCTCAAGAGCTTTTTATTCTAAGACATAAAATGCGTCAGCAAATACCCCACTGGGGAATTAAAAAATGAAGGTTGCTAACAAGTGTCTAAAGGAGACAACTGAACGCCATCACGCCCAACATTAGCCACCTTTACCTTTACCTTAGCGGTGGTGAAGTCATGTGACCGTGCTGTAGTTCCTTTATAGCCCAACATTAGCCACCTTTAGCTTAGCGGTGGTGAAGTCATGTGACCGTGCTGTAGTTCCTTTATAGCCCAACATTAGACACCTTTAGCTTAGCGGTGGTGACGTGAAGTCATGTGACCGTGCTGTAGTTCCTTTATAGCCCAACATTAGCCACCTTTAGCTTAGCAGTGGTGACGTGAAGTCATGTGACCGTGCTGTAGTTCCTTTATAGCCCAACATTAGCCACCTTTAGCTTAGCGGTGGTGACGTGAAGTCATGTGACCGTGCTGTAGTTCCTTTATATTCCCAACATTAGACACCTTTAGCTTAGCGGTGGTGACGTGAAGTCATGTGACCGTGCTGTAGTTCCTTTATAGCCCAACATTAGCCGCCTTTAGCTTAGCGGTGGTGACGTGAAGTCATGTGACCGTGCTGTAGTTCCTTTATAGCCCAACATTAGCCACATTTAGCTTAGCGGTGTAAGTATGATAAACGTTTGTTTGACACAGAGATTATTTTCTGATATAATCCAAATAACAAAATTAAATCTCATTGCTTTTTTGTCGAGGGAGCTTTTGCGATGCTAACTTCCGGGTCGGCCTACAAAAATACGTCATTGCTGCCCAACTCGATAAGATAACATTATGATTCCTCTCCGAAAAGGTCTGGTTTGAACTGGTATCTCAAACTCTAATGTTTGATAATGCATTGTTCTTTCCCCTCCCAAAAAATACACAGTATGTGACCCTCAAAAGATGGAGTGTCCTGCCCTTTGCCATCATCCTCCTGTCCATCCATCCCACACTAACTGAAGTGGTGACTTCAATGGCTGACTGTCGTGGGTTTCTTCTTGAGGAAAAAACACCAAATGTCCCCGACGTCTTGGAGAACGGGAGGATCATGGACCAGAACCGATATGAAGTAATTTGCCAAACCTTCGAGAACAAGAGTCGGTTTGTGACGCTCTATGACACCAGCAACAGGATACCAGTGTTTTCTGCTTTCAAGTACAGAGGGACAGATGGAACAAAGAGTAATAGATCACGTGATTGGAAGATGGAGCCACAGGTTTGTTTTCTTTCTCTGACTCAAACATTATTCAACTTTCGACTATTCAATGGCGTTAAACTCCGTCCACCAGTTTTTACACTTTAAGAGAGGGACAGCGACCTCATCAGCAACTGACAGGTTGATTAAGAAAAGTGTTTATAGCGTGAGAGCAATAGATAATGGGAATATGACGTCATCAACAGCAAGTCAGCCATCTTTGGGGGATACCGTAACCCATTGACTCTCTCTCCATTATGGCGATGTCACTTTTTGAATGTAACTTCTTGAATGTGGGCACTGTTTGTGTCCTTGGCTGTAACTGCCACTCCTATAACTAATGAAAAAACAAAACAAAGAACCTTGGGTTTACATTTGATAGTTTTATAGCAAAATGGAAAACGATGGAGAGGTAGCACACATCAGCAGAGATGCCGTATGAGTGGGACCAATGTTATTTATTCACTTTAATTCAGTACAACAATGCTCCTCTGATTCTGAGGAGAGCTTCTGTCGGTAAGGGCAATTATATTTTGCCATTGCTTTATTCATATTAGGTGAACAACATCAAAAAGATGACCAGTGAAAGCTCATAGATATTAAGGGCTTCTGTCGTTGTTGGATGCTATCCTCCAAAGATGGCTGTGACGCCCCAGAATGCACGGCGGCTACCATTCCCTATGACTGGAATTCACATGATAAAATGTCTGATGTAATCGCTTCAGTTTGAGTTATCAAATAACTTTCTGGAAGTTTATTTTAACAGCAAAATAAATACCACTGACTGAGCCTTCTGAATTTTGCAGCTCGAGTGGAAGGCAAACCCCATCAACATGAGGAACGATGCAAACCAAAACCAAAACCAAAAACAGGCCAGAAACTCTGATTATTCCTCCAAACTCCAAAATAAGTATAATAGGGGCCATTTATTTCCAAACAGTTATGGATTTGATAAAGAAGACAGAAACTCCACATTCACTTTGACAAACATTGTTCCACAAGTGAAGACTTTCAATGGTGGCAGCTGGAAAAGAATGGAAGAATGTGTCAAATGCATCCTGAACAAATACTGCATCAACAATAATAATCTCCTCGTAGGCTTTGTAGTGACCGGGGCAAAGCCTGGCAACAACATGCAACTAAACAACAGGGTCAATATACCATCCCTTCTCTGGTCAGCATTCTGCTGTTACAATCACGGAATGGAGAAGTATGTGGCGGCTGCATACTGGGGCGATAATGTTCATGAAGAACTTAAATTAAAAAAAACACTTGAGCAAAAGACTTTGGCCGAACTTCATGAACATCTGGGATTTGAGGTGTTTCCTGGAACACAGTGTCCTCTTGATAAACATGCCCTACAAGAGGAACAAAGTACAAGAAGGAGAAGAGGTATTTCTGCTTCTTCTTCTTTTTGCCAATGTCCTCCCCAAACTTCAACCACATCTGCCCCTCCCACTACCACACCTAGCTTTCCCTCTTCCAGCGTCTCTACCACCTTGAGCACCACTTTATCTACAACTACAGACAAAACAACAACAGTCCCTACAACCACAATAACAACCACCACCACAACAAAGACAACAACAACAACAACTACAAAGAAAAAGAAAGATAATCCTGATGATAACAAGGGTGGTGAAGGAGGAGATGGTGGAGGAGGAGGTGCTTTAGGAGATGCTTTCGGTGCTTTAGGAGGTGTTTTAGGTGCTTTAGGAGGAGCTTTAGGAGGTGTTTTAGGAGGTGTTTTAGGTGCTTTAGGAGGAGCTTTAGGAGGTGTTTTAGGTGCTTTAGGAGGAGCTTTAGGAGGTGGAGGAGGAGGTGGTAATTTGCATACAACAGTTCCTGCTACGTCTCAAAATGCCACTACATCTGGCCATGTAGCTACCACAACAAGAATTCCTTTAACTACTGTTTTCCCCAGTTTTGCCACTAAACCAACAACTACAGAAACACCAACCGGAACAACTTCCCAAATCACAACTAACTCCACCACTACAACATCTACCCAAACTATTCCTGCAACTTCCAAACCCCAAACTAATTCCACCACTACAACATCAACCCCAACTATTCCTGCAACTTCCAAACCCCAAACTAATTCCACCACTACGACATCAACCGCAACTATTCCTGCAACTTCCAAACCCCAAACTAATTCCACCACTACGACATCAACCGCAACTATTCCTGCAACTTCCAAACCCCAAACTAATTCCACCACTACAACATCAACCCCAACTATTCCTGCAACTTCCAAACCCCAAACTAATTCCACCACTACGACATCAACCCAAACTATTCCTGCTACTTCCAAACCCCAAACTAATTCCACCACTACAACATCAACCCCAACTATTCCTGCAACTTCCAAACCCCAAACTAATTCCACCACTACGACATCAACCGCAACTATTCCTGCAACTACTGAACCCCAATATAACTCCACCATTATGACATCAACACCAACTATTCCTGCAAGTTCCGAACCCAAAACTAACTCCACCAACCAGACCTCAACGGCCTTCATTCCTGCAACCACTGAATCCCAAACCAACCCAACCAACCCTACCCCAACTATTCCTGCTACTTCCGAACCCCAATCTAATTCCACCACTACAACATCAACACGAACTATTCCTGCAAGTTCCGAACCCAAAACTAACTCCAGCAACCCAACCCCAACTATTCCTGCTACTTCCGAACCCCAAAAGAACTCAACCAACCAGACCTCAACAGCTTTCACTCCTGAAACTACTGAACCCCAAACCAATACAACCAACCCTACGCCAACTTTTCCTGCTACTTCTGAACCCAAAACTAACTCCACCACTACAACATCAACGCCATTCACTCCTACAACTTCCAAACCCCAAACCAACACACCCAACCGGACACCAATGGCCTTCATTCCTGAAACTTTCGAATCCGAAAATAACTCTACCAATCCAACATCAACACCATTCACTCCTCCAACTTCCAAACCCCAAACAAACTCCACCAATCCAACACCAACCCCTACCATTCGTGACATTTCCGAACTCCAAACCAAGTCATCAGCTACTTCTTTAACCTCTTGTCTGATATGTTTGTATATTTTTTGTTTACTGTTTGGCTAATACCCGATTTGCAGCTAGGCTAGTACAATCCTACTGGACGATACCAATGGCAAGTGCCATTGAGCTTTAAAATATCCATTTCTGACACCTAGTGGAAAAATAAAATCAATCCGAATCCGAATTGTTTTTGATTTATTTGGTCAATTCAATTTCGCTAATCATAGATTTAAAGAAAAGGTGTGCTTTGCATAGATTAAGAGGGAGATTGAGAATGTCTAATTATTTAGTCATTTTAGTCAAATCAATGGCACAAAACTGCATGAAATAGAAATATTATTCAGATCCCCGCTACCAAGGCACTTTATGTGGATCAACCGGCCCATCACACTCTACAGGACGTCTTAGTAATGAAATATTTTTAACTTGAGACTGCTTTATTTCCTGATGTTACCTTTAATCAGAGGCAAGAAGCTAAAGACTACAACTCCCATGATCCAACGCTACCTCACCCCACTGTAATCTCTGTCCATGTTAATGTTTGATTGAGAGCCCCCTAGTGGCAGAAAATGGCAAATCTTACGTTTAAATGCATAAAAATCAAAGAGTTATGTTCATTAAGAACTACTTTTATCTGTATTGAGGACAAAAATCAAGTTAGTATTGTAAAGGAATTGTGATGGTCATTTGAAGGGGAATACTGTGTGTGTGTGTGTGTGTGTGTGTGTGTGTGTGTGTGTGCGTGTGACACTGTGTGTGTGTGTGCAGCAGTATCGGATGTAAAGTGTTGTTTGTGCGTGTGCAGCCGTGCATAAACAGCTAAGCTAATGTGGAAATTGAGGCGAGACGTCAAGGATCTCACACACACACACACACACACACACACACACACACACACACACACACACACACACACACCCACACACACACACACACACACACACTTACTGCTGTCAGAAGTTAACACTCAGCCGTCGCTCTTTCACTACCATCTTGAAAATATATTGACAGTTTGGCTGCGGGAGGAGACGTCAGTGAGTCCTACATGACTGTATCTGAGGTAAGTCGACATTCTGTTATTTATATTAATCTATATGTTATTTTATTTTATTTATTTCTATGAAAAGGTCGGAAAAACGATGTTTACATGTTGACAGTTAGCAAAGTTTTACAGTGAAACATTTTATCTCAACACTTCAACTTTATGGTAGATTTCTAATTAATTCCCTGTAAATTGTACGTGATAAATAACATTTAAACCTCATCTTTAACATTTCTACTAAATGTATTCTCAAAATGTCAAGATTATTCCCGTGGATGGATGGATTACAAATCAAGAATAAATGTGAATTTTATTCTTGACTTTTAATCCATCCATCCACGCTCCATTGTTCCCTCACTCGAGAACAAGACCCCGAGATACTTGAACTCCTTCACTTGGGGTAAGGCCTCATTCCCTACTTGGAGTGGACAGTCCATCGGTTTCCTGCTGAGAACCATGGCCTCAGATTTGGAGGTGCTGATCCTCATCAAACGTCTCTTTTACTCAATATCTCTACTTTATTCTCCTAAATTTTACTTTTTGATTCAAGCTAGTTATTGACATTTTAACTTTATTGAAACACAAACAAACAGCTGCATTTTAAAAATGTTTAAAATAATAAAAAATACATTTGCAGGGAAGAACGAGATCGCGGATACAAGCGGCCGAGATGGGTTTTCTCTGCAGGGTGGCTGGTGTCTCCCTTAGGGATAAGGTGAGAAGTTCGGTCATCAGGGAGGGACTCGGAGTTGAGCCGCTCCTCCTTCGCGTCGAAAGGAGCCAGTTGAGGTGGTTCGGGCACCTAGTTAGGATGCCACCTGGGCGCCTCCCTAGGGAGGTGTTCCAGGCACGTCCAGCTGGGAAGAGACCAAGGGGTAGACCTAGGACCAGGTGGAGGGATTATATCTCTTCGCTGGCCTGGGAGCGCCCCCAGTCAGAGCTGGTTGATGTCGCCAGGGAAAAGAAAGTTTGGGGCTCTCTGCTGGAACTGCTACCCCCGCGACCCGACCACGGATAAGCGGGAGAAGATGGATGGATGGACATTTGCAGGGATTCAAGAGTCCTCTCCTGCTGATGTTCAGGTGTATATCAGTATGTAGTGTCTCTACTTTAAAGAGTCCTCTCCTGCTGATGTTCAGGTGTATATCAGTATGTAGTGTCTCTACTTTAAAGAGTCCTCTCCTGCTGATGTTCAGGTGTATATCAGTATGTAGTGTCTCTACTTTAAAGAGTGCTCTCCTGCTGATGTTCAGGTGTATATCAGTATGTAGTGTCTCTACTTTAAAGAGTCCTCTCCTGCTGATGTTCAGGTGTATATCAGTATGTAGAGTGTCTACTTTAAAGAGTCCTCTCCTGCTGATGTTCAGGTGTATATCAGTATGTAGTGTCTCTACTTTAAAGAGTCCTCTCCTGCTGATGTTCAGGTGTATATCAGTATGTAGAGTCTCTACTTTAAAGAGTCCTCTCCTGCTGATGTTCAGGTGTATATCAGTATGTAGTGTCTCTACTTTAAAGAGTCCTCTCCTGCTGATGTTCAGCTTCATATCAGTATGTAGTGTCTTTACTTTAAAGAGTCCTCTCCTGCTGATGTTCAGATGTATATCAGTATGTAGTGTCTCTACTTTAAAGAGTCCTCTCCTGCTGATGTTCAGGTGTATATCAGTATGTAGAGTCTCTACTTTAAAGAGTCCTCTCCTGCTGATGTTCAGGTGTATATCAGTATGTAGTGTCTCTACTTTAAAGAGTCCTCTCCTGCTGATGTTCAGCTTCATATCAGTATGTAGTGTCTTTACTTTAAAGAGTCCTCTCCTGCTGATGTTCAGATGTATATCAGTATGTAGTGTCTCTACTTTAAAGAGTCCTCTCCTGCTGATGTTCAGGTGTATATCAGTATGTAGAGTCTCTACTTTAAAGAGTCCTCTCCTGCTGATGTTCAGATGTATATCAGTATGTAGTGTCTCTACTTTAAAGAGTCCTCTCCTGCTGATGTTCAGATGTATATCAGTATGTAGTGTCTCTACTTTAAAGAGTCCTCTCCTGCTGATGTTCAGATGTATATCAGTATGTAGTGTCTCTACTTTAAAGAGTCCTCTCCTGCTGATGTTCAGATGTATATCAGTATGTAGTGTCTCTACTTTAAAGAGTCCTCTCCTGCTGATGTTCAGGTGTATATCAGTATGTAGAGTCTCTACTTTAAAGAGTCCTCTCCTGCTGATGTTCAGGTGTATATCAGTATGTAGAGTCTCTACTTTAAAGAGTCCTCTCCTGCTGATGTTCAGGTGTATATCAGTATGTAGTGTCTCTACTTTAAAGAGTCCTCTCCTGCTGATGTTCAGGTGTATATCAGTATGTAGAGTCTCTACTTTAAAGAGTCCTCTCCTGCTGATGTTCAGGTGTATATCAGTATGTAGTGTCTCTACTTTAAAGAGTCCTCTCCTGCTGATGTTCAGGTGTATATCAGTATGTAGTGACTCTACTTTAAAGAGTCCTCTCCTGCTGATGTTCAGGTGTATATCAGTATGTAGTGTCTCTACTTTAAAGAGTCCTCTCCTGCTGATGTTCAGGTGTATATCAGTATGTAGTGTCTCTACTTTAAAGAGTCCTCTCCTGCTGATGTTCAGGTGTATATCAGTATGTAGTGTCTCTACTTTAAAGAGTGCTCTCCTGCTGATGTTCAGGTGTATATCAGTATGTAGTGTCTCTACTTTAAAGAGTGCTCTCCTGCTGATGTTCAGCTTCATATCAGTATGTAGTGTCTCTACTTTAAAGAGTCCTCTCCTGCTGATGTTCAGGTGTATATCATTATGTAGTGTCTCTACTTTAAAGAGTCCTCTCCTGCTGATGTTCAGGTGTATATCATTATGTAGTGTCTCTACTTTAAAGAGTCCTCTCTGCTGATGTTCAGGTGTATATCAGTATGTAGTGTCTCTGCTTTAAAGAGTCCTCTCCTGCTGATGTTCAGGTGTATATCAGTATGTAGTGTCGCAGGATTTAACAGTGTGTGTGTGTGTGTGTGTGTGTGTGTGTGTGTGTGTGTGTATGTGGTGTGTGTGTGTGTGTGTGTGTGTCCTGTGTGTGTGTGCGATTTCCCCGGGATGGAGCCCTACGACCTGAATCTGGAGAAAGGAGGCGAGTACGTCGTCCTGGAGAAATGTGACGTGAACTGGTTCAGATTACGGGTGGATTTAACATCTGCCACCAAGGGGGCGCGGTATCACAATTATGAAAAAATACGTCCATTGCAGTTAGATGTTGTTATTTTGAATGTGGAAAAAGCAGCTTCTATGTTAGCTTGGCCTACCCATGATCAACGAATCTCCATTCAGCGTCTTTGAGTTCAAGAAAAGCGCTATACATATAATTTATTATTATTCAGAGAACAGTTAAAACAGGTTTTGCTTGTCGTCTTGGGAAAACATGTCAATTTACGCTTTTTCTTTTAATTATGCAGTTATTTTGTCTTCATTTTCAATTAAATCACAGAAAATTATGGTAATTTCACACAAATGACAGCATTTGACTGAATATCTAAAAAGTGTATGGTAAAAACGTCATTGTAGGTTTATAAATGAATACATGTTGAAGACAAAGAAAGCAGCGATATATATTATATATTA